ATGATACCCTGGTCACGAGGGTGACAACCATTTTCGAAACCAGGCATTCAGCCCTTTGCCAAGAATGGTCCTGGAAGGAGTACTTTTCCGGCGCCAACGCCAAGAATGATTGTGATATTCGTGATCAGGATCTTGAATAACTTTTCAAGTTTTCACCGATTTTGGGGAGAAAGGTGATGGAGTCGAGTTGGCGCCTTCGGCGTAAACGGTGCCAGCGCCAGTAGTGAATATCTTATCCGTGAACAGGGCTTTAAGCCACCCCTGAGGGCAAAGTTTCAGCGAAAAAAAACGTTCTTGAGTTTCTGGAGTAGTAATAGTGGAGTGGTATCCATAAACCTTGTAAGGCATAAGAATGACACCCTTGTTAAGAGCATTTGAGATGGTTCTTTGTTTGTTCGTTACGATACTAAGTTTCTTGGCAACATAAATGGTTACGGGAGGCGGATTTATTGCATTTTTTTCAAGCCCTACTTCTACGCTTTTCACGAGTAGGGGCGTATGATCACTCGAAATGCTAAGGGAACGCTCGTTGTGATTAGCTATGCTTACCTTCAACGTGCCATACAAAAGCACAAAGAATGTAGGACAATTCGAAACGATCCAAATCCATCTCTAGTAGTAGTCGCCTCACTTCGTCGCTCAATCGACATCCGAAGTAACCGAACATACTGAAGAATAAACTCAAATAAGAAATGCTGGGATAACTATATAACTAGTATTTTATGACTATCTACTATACCTAACTGTATAATTATTGCCTTATAACTATATTCAATAACTATATAATTATTAATTATTTAGAATCATGCTATGACCTGACATCTTTTGGCATCTAAAGTTTCATGCCCACAAATCAGCTAACTGCTTAAAGGCTCCTTCCGTTATTGTAGTTCCAAGGCAATGAGGTTCAAATCAGGCCTATCTGGCTTACTGATGGTCGAAAGAATGAGAAAACTGACTTTAGAAAGGACCCTCACCTTCACATTCAATAATAATCAGTGGACGAGCATGAGATTATCAAGACCGACAGCTGGACGCAAGAGGCGACAATCCGACAAACGACGGACAAGCAGAGCCAAGTATGACTTCGAAGAAAATTTGGGCGCTGTTGAACTATTCCTTCCCCAAAAATCAAAAAAATTTTCTCGCTAAAACGCTGTCTATGTAATTCGGTGCTGATCACGAATATCACACTGGTTCAGAGCGCTGGCGTCATTTGGCGCCATTATGCGCCAATATGGCGCCAAATTGGCGCATAGTAACGCCAAATGGCGCCAGCGCCGAAAATAAATGTTGGATTTGTAATCAGGACCTCAATTAACCCCATATGCAAGTTTTCATCTACTTTGGGTAAAAAAGTGGTGGGCGCCAAATTGGCGCATAATGGCGCCAAATGACGCCAGCGCTCGAAACGGATGTGATATTCGTGATCAGCGCATCGAATTACATCTATGGACAACGTTTCAGCGAAAATTTTTTTTGAGTTTTTGGGGTAGGAATAGTTCAATAGTGCCAAAATTTGTATTCAACTACAACTCCTCTTCTCATACATTACCCCCCCTCCCCCGCCACCCTCAATATTTCTCATTTGTCCGATTTTTCAACACACTCACACCCCTTTCTCTCGCTTTTTTTCTCCACAACTAAGTCAGTTCGTTCTCACAGACTCACATCTAAATCTCATTAGCCTCATCTTGTCAAACAGGGGATATGACTTGAGTCATCTTTAGTACTAGTATTTTTCTAACAGAGGGCACCGTTGCGCGGTGATGCGTCCCTCAATACCAGCTCACAAACTTTATGAACCGATACTACATGTTCCAATTCAAGTTAAAATTTTGTGAAGTGTGGCAACAAATCAGGAATGAGCGACACCAACCTTTTGATGCTTTCCGAATCATGATCACTGAATGGTGCCATTTCAAGTTGCACTGTATCCAGGTTGATGGCGCCATTCTCACCCGTCACAATCACCTAACTATGAAACTATTATTTTTATTGATATTCATGAAAGAAAAGACTCGGATGTCAACTAGCGTAGTCATATCACTTACTCTCCCAGTACTTTGTGAAAACAAACGGCCACTATTTTGTGATTTGAGGAATTAGTAGAGTACGTGGCATGACAGCAGAAAACTTGGAGCAACGAATTTCGTAGCAATTAGAGATACATGTCGCGAATGCCTGATTCGTAGAACTTTTCGGCATCCCTCATACTCACGATGACGCGCTTCAACGCGCTGTATCGCACTCCAAGGCTATGCAGCGCACGCAGTCGCAGACGGAAACTGATCGGCGTCACTTGAAAAAAATATGGGAAAAGCGGACGCGTCGCCCAGTCTCGTAGTCTGGCATTGGATGACACTGGCCGCTGAATCGGCATCGATCGATTCCCGTTCGCGGGCGTATTCGCGTCGTTAGGATTGAGGCGCGTTAAACGCAGTATCAAACAATGACATTTTGAAGTCTACCTTCTTGTGCACGAGACCAGGTCCACAATCTCCATTATATTATTAGGGTGTCCACAAAGTTCGTTGGCCATTTGTAAACAGCGTCGCGTTACGCAACGCGTTGTGATTTTGCATAAAGATTTCGCAATACTGAAAGTACTCGCGATGGGCTATCTTCTGAGCTAGCTAGCTCTAAATTTCCTTTCCTGCTCTTCCCACAATAAAGCAGTGAAGATGAGTGATAGTCACCACCACCGCCGATGTTTGCTGGACTACTACAACCTGGGCATCTCCAGACGTCAGGCCACGACAGGATGCGTCAGCAGTTTGGTAATAACACCCCTTCTAAGAACTGGATGTCAAAATGGTGGACTCGCCTCACCAATGAAAACTATGGCATCGAAGATATGCCGAGGTTTCTGGTTCTCTCGCCACGGCGTCGTCCACTACAGCATCCTACCCAACAATGCCACAGTGACGGCAGAGACCCTCTCTAAAGAATTGCAGGAGGTCAAGGTGAAAGCTGCCGCCTTGTCCCAGAAACTTGCAAATCCGTGGTTGCTCTGAGACAACGCGCCCCCACAAAGCGAGAGATACTCAGGCCGTCCTGGACAGGCTGGGCATCGAGACGATCACGCATCCACCGTATAGCCCGGACATTAGTCCATGCGATTACCACATCTTCCGGTCCATGCAAAATTTCTTGGACGGAAAACAGCTGAAGAACGAGCGCGACCTCGAGGACGTGATCGAGGACTGGGCCGAGTCGCGGCCGGCCAGCTTTTGGGAGGATGGAGTTGCCTCTCTACCCGATCGTTGGCGAAAGGTAGTGGGTATGCATGGAGATTATATCATGGACCGGTAAGTTCAACTTGGTGAGATATCTTTACCAGCTCTGAAAAAACGAATGGCCAACGAACTTTGTGGACACCTTAATATTTCGCTAATCGACTTAAGTGAAGCGCACTGTAGAAGTCAATAGGTGAATTTCATCTTGGGAACTTGTCTCTACTCTCTCCAAGGATACCATCGGTTATATAAGAATCGGTTATATAAGATAGGGTCCTCAGAGCGTTTCACTTCCACATTTTCTTCGCTGGTGAGTCAACTTCGATCGCGGATTCATATTTGACTCCAACAAATCACGATATACGGGGGCAGAATGGGAGATTCTTAGTGCAGTCACCGTTCACCACCGCCTGCTATACTCTGAGAATCAACAGAGGTGGGCCTTATCATCACTGATGCCATGCTAAGCCCATGGCAACTGAAAAGGGCCGCTCCGGCAACGCTTCAATCCACGCCCTCTTCCCCCCTCCCCCCACATACCGCCTCGTTTGTAGACATGCTGATAGCTGTGGTATATTCTCTCAAATATTAAACAAGTTTGAGCTTGACTGGAGACGAGGTCCGGTTTCGGTGACTGTGAAGGTTTCCCAGTAGCTTCGTATAAGCGGTTGAATTATGGTAAGGGCTCCATCGTAATTACCTAACTGAGCTCGAACTTCAATAATTTCATTGTTTGTGAAGGTACGAGTTTGAGAAGTGCAGGGTCTTTCGAAATAGTCCTCCTTTTCTGTTATACTTTTGGAATGCTGTGCTATAATCTGTCGTAAATAAGGGCTTGTCCTTACCCGTTCGTTGATAGCCTGCTGTCCAAAGATCTGCACTGTTATTTGGAGGCGCTCAAACTTCTGCCAAAGAGTCCATGAACTTTTGAACAGAGTCATCTACAAAAGAACGCACTGAGCCGCAGCTGTACATTCTGCTATTGAGAATGCCCAGGAAACCTTGTCTTCCGGTGGAAGTTCTGCAAAGTCTTGAAAATTCATCATCCATTGTGCTATCTCGTATATCTGCGATTTCCATGAAGGTAGATCATCATAGAAGTTATACTTTTCTAGGAACTAAACAATCTCTTTTCTATTCAGAAACTTTTCACGAATTTCAACTAAGAAACACTAATTAAGTAAGTTCCTACCACAATCCGAGGATTTTTGCTTGAACGGAATTTTTCTAGGGCAAAATACATCCGAATAAGGAGACGTTTTTCATGCTCGTTACGGTATGGCTGGAAACAAAGCACAAAATTCGTGCATTCGTGCATTCCTGCAACCCTATTTTGCCCATGAAATCCTCAGTACAAAGGTCACCTGGGAAAAAATTTGCCTCAAATTGGTCATAACATCTGTAAGGTCGACAGTTGGTCGAACTTCCGTACTGGCTGAAGCCGTTTCTTCCGTGATTGGTGTCTCCTGGAAAGTCATGTAAATGAGGGTTAACCCAATGCGGTTGCTGCGGTGGCAAGGCCCACCATCGCTGGGGTTTCCCCGACATAGGGGTCCTATTTGGATGCGCGGGGGAATGGTTAAAGTTGGTGTGAGGAATTTCTTTTGATAGTCGATTTTCTTGTTTCAGTTGAACTATCGGGGGAGGAGTTGTATTTGCTCGTTGATGGGAGGAAAGGGGGTGGGGTCCCATTTGCCTTCCGAGAGAAACTTACGGCGTTGGGAGAAATTTTCTCCGGTTATTGACTTTTCGCGGTTTTTCCTGTCGTTCTCCCGTTAACGACAGCGATCGTAAAGGGGAGAACTGGGTCGTATTTTCCGAAATTCTCCCCAGCGGCAAGACATGCTTTCGAAAAATTAACAACCGATACCGGAAGGAGTCGTATCAAGCCACTCCCAGTTCCAGCGATTTCAAGTCGTAAGTAGCGGGGTTGAAATTGAAAGTGGTGGTTTTTTACTTAATCTGGAGAAAAAAAAATAGCAGAGGCAAGCGCCGAAGCCGAAAACTACGATCCCACTTGATGCATGACACCTGTTCTGACCGAGATGTGATATTCCTTGAGTTACGTTAAAAGACAATATAGCAAATGAGCACATGAGCCAGCAAAAAGACAGGCACCCAAAAAGTGAGTCTAACAAGGGATGTCTTTCAAGTCGTGGCGCGCTTTTTGGAAATGGTTTGTTGCTTGTTGTAGGGGTCCATACATCACAAAATGGGTTTCATTTTTGCTATGCGTTTCTGGGGAGGTCAAAAACTGAGTGAAAACAATTTGACAAGAAAGGGCGATTTTAACCGTCTTATTGGGCTCTGTTGTAGCTGTAACTTTGAGAGTGCATAGTTTATGAGGTGTTCCTTCACTATGTATCGAAAAGAGAGCAAAATAAAGTCAAAAAGAAAGTGCATGGAGAAGAAGTGGTACCAAAGTTACTTCAACGATTCCCGCAATCCGTAGTGGATAGTGCGGTGGGCTTTTGAGAAGGAGGTTTGTGGATCGGATCCTCTTGGCGGCAAGATCTTTGCATTTTTCGGATACTTTTTGCATTTTTCGGATTTCCGTCTCCTTGTGTTCCTGCGTGCGTGATGGTGTATATAACATAGATATATGCCATTTAAAACATCTTTCTGTGTAGTCAAAGTTCACAAGTGGACCCTACTTAAATATTGCGCTCTCGAAACATTACTGAGGTAACTCTTGTTTGAAAAGTTGGCGACCACGGCGCAACCTATCGCTGATTGTGCAAGAGCATTCTTCGCACTGAAATCGTTGTCAGCCTGCACGCAGGGGCTGTTAAGCGCCATGCTGGCGTCAAATGGCCTCGGCGCATAAGAATAAGTGTCAGAATCGTGAGCGGGCTACCAATTACTCCTGTATGCAAACTTCCAGCAAAAAAATTTTGGAGGTTTTGATAATAATGGACCGACCACTCGGTTGGTAGTGGCACCCTATCAGCGCACCCAGCGTAACTGGTTCCACTTTAATTTTCCAGGTAGATATTGTGCAATGCACATACAAGGGGGGAGGGGGCAAAAAAAAGTAACTTTGACCAGTCACATATCAGCAAAGTTTTCGCTGCCCAGACAGAGGGCGTGGATACGAGTACCAGGGCAGAAGATACCCAAGATGTTCCTCGATAAGCAGGAGCCGCCCATCACCTTCATGTACACCAAAATATGAAGTCATCTCCAGTCGCAGCCTGACTGGAGAAGACCTTTGGAATTCATGTCACCTCCAAACAGCTGCGAAACTTCTAGTATGGAGTCACCCATGGATAGCTACCTGGAGACCAGTACTCTCGATCTGGGAGACCTCCATCATCGAGCAGCTCCGTCAACGTCGCTACGGTCTAGGACATCATCTTCACCTACAGTCGCCAAGGCACGGGTTGATGGTATGGACCGGACGTACCTGGAATGGAGAGACCAATATTTTCTTCGTGGACCCCGGACTGAAGGTGAGCGCTGGCGGTTACATGAGCAACTCGTGAAGAATATCCTCCTCACATGTCGTCGCCCGTACCTTCTTGGAAACTTTGTACTGCTACAGCATTGGTGCCACCACATGGAATCGAAGGGCGTTGGAGAAACTCTCGCCTACTTGGAATGGAAGGGGGCTGAGTACCTAAAGAAGATGGAATATCCAAGTAGGTCACCTGACCTGAATCCACTCAATTATTCGGTTCAGGCGGAGTTCAATTGGGTGGCCTACGGTGGCGCCGGAGAAAGCGAGTATCTCGCTGAACTTAAGCACCACATCGCGGTCGCGTGCCCGGAATTTCTCGATGGCGCTCATCCAGAAGGCTGTGGCGAAGTGTTTTTTTCAATCATATTTTAATATGCTCTTTAATATGGTGGTAGAAATGTCCGATCAGAATTTAATAAAGTGTAACTTATAGCGCCTCGAAAGTCAATGAAGAAAAGTGACTTTTTTGCCCCCCTGTATGTGTCCCTTTTTGAACTCTCGTGCCGTTGCTTGGTTATCAGGGTTTATACTAGTAAGAGGAAGGTCCAGGGTTATCGGAAGTTCGATAACTACAATACTTTTTACAGCGACAAATGATAGCCACCAATTCAACAAGACCAACCATCATAGCTCGAAGAGTTTCGAGGAGAAAAATTCTGCTGAAAAGCCTGTATATAGAGGTTATTAATGGCCCTGATATAATTGGCGCCTGGGCCATTTGGCGCCAACGTGGCTCTGAATACCCCCCCCCCCCTGACTGCGGGAATCACTTCGAGAAACTACAATGCTAGCTCACTGTGTGACAGGTCCTTTTTTCTCCTTGACTTGTATTGTTTTCGATGCAATGTCCACGAAGGTCTCATTTGCTACATCCACATTAGAAAAAAGAGCCTGGAAAAATTATTCAAAATCGCTTTCTCCAGCAAACTTTTCACTCATTTTTTGACCTTCCCAGAAATGCATAGCAAAAACGAAACCCATTTTTGTGATCCTTATATGGACCCCTACAACATGCAACAAACCATTTCTGAAAAGCGCCATGACCTGAAAGACCTCCCTTGTAAGACCGCGTTCAGACATCACGATCGGGTCGCTCGAGCGATTGGAGAAAGGTTCATGCATCACGACTCATCTAACAAATTATCACTCACCTCTTTGGAACCATTCATTTCACTGATTACAGGAACACGATTGGATGGTTTTTTACCGTCATCTCCTGTCTTTGGCGACACCTGAATGGAAAACGTGGGAAGAAGAATCAGAGCTTTCAGAGTATTGGAGATAGAAGAAGTGTTGTGTACAGGGCACATCATCGTTAGTGATTCTCCAATGAGAGGGAAGGGGAGGGGCCGTAGGTGGACTGTCAATCAGCAACGATTGTGTGCATCGGAAATGTACAAAGTTGTGCGAACAAATTCACCCGGATCAGTGAGGGTCAGTCAGTACAAAATGAAAAAGTACTTAATAAAGTTCAGGGCCTATTGTCCGAACCGCCCGTCTCAATGGGTACTATTCATTTCATTAGTTTGAAACTCGTTTGACTCGTCGAAAAAAGGAATAGGTCGAAACCATAGGCCGCTGAATAAGCTGTTCTTTCTCAAAACCTTGAAAGTCGTTGCGAATGAAATAGCAAGAAGAAGCGAACAGGTTTGGTATTGTGATATGTGTTTCTTTGCAATGCACTCAGAATGTTCTCCCGGCTTTGCAGAGAAAATTAAATGGGCTTGCACGCGAGAAATTTTTATGGTCAAGGGTTTCGAGCAGTAATGACTTTCCATCTATTTCATAGTCAAGGTGCTTGCGGTGGAATATCCAGCAGAATGCCTAGCAAGTCAATGAGAAGACTTACGGTTCTCTTTCCATTCAGCCTTTCCACCGTTGTCGAGAGTATGTCTCTGTTCAGTTGCACATCTTAAGAACGGAAATTATTTCTCAATAAAGAAGTTATCACACAGGTTATTGTAGAAAGTGGCTGCTGATGCCCAGAAGCTAATAGCTCTCAAACTAGCGTAGTAATAAGTCACCGTTCACCTGAACGACTACCCATGGCTCCACTTGAGATTCTTACTTTTTAGGTTTTCCTGATATGATGGGACATCCACCCATCTCTCTAAGCTTTGTATTTATCTACAACCTATCTGATGTCATGAATCGGCGCGGGGAAGTGGACCTGAAAGCTTGCGTCAGAGGAAGAAGAACGTGAAGAACGTTATGTGTTGAATAATGCTTTTTTTACATATGTCTACCTCTCCCTTTCCGCATCAAAAATGTTATTGGACCGTTCTCTCGGTTCCCCGCCTGAGCAGTCCCCTCCCGATTAACGGTTGGGGGCGATTTTTTTTCTGTTGTAGTACCTAAGAACACCCAAGAAATTCCGAGAAGTGGTAGGAAGTTGGGAAATCTGCAGAAGAAGATTGGAACACAAAGTAAAACTATCCAACCCAGAATGGTATCAGGTTGGCGGGGAAGTTCTTTCACACTTTTTTATCCCAAAATACTTGCCCATTACCTGGTGGTGACGTCCGTTCCTCCAAGTGGTGCCACCGGGACCTGCTCGCTTTTGCGGGCTGAGCAGAACACGGACAA